GAGAGAGAGAGAGAGAGAGAGAGAGAGAGAGAGAGAGAGAGAGAGAGGAGAGAGACAGAAATCGGCCTCAGGCAACATAAAACAACGCCTGCAAAGAGGGGGTGAACCTCTTCAATGTTTACCAAGGCTAATTGACTTTTGTAGCTGTCATAAATGTTGACATACATAAAACGCAAGCCGCAGAGGCGGCTGCCAACGGCAACCAATAAATGGCAAGCAACAGCTGCCGCAACGAGCGCAATTTAAAGCGCTTATTACACTTTACGCGTAGACATTTTGCAGTCTAAATTATTACGAACTTTACTACGATTCAAGAAAAAAATATTTCCCAGCTGGTCTACAATATATTGCATTCCTTTCTTACTAGTCCGGAAACGTAAGTTGCCTGGCACTGCTAAAAATTGATTTTAATCTCATTCTATCTGGGAAACCTGATTCTAGATAAGTCTGACTCAGATCATTTTCGTTATAAAAGAAAGCTGTATTTTAAACGTCGAGTGTGCATTATACGCTAAGTATCTGAATTTACATATATGTGTGTCACTATATGTATATATTGAATATATTCTATACATGGTTGACCACTTCAGAAAAATACATCAGCTAGCATTGAATTAAGATAGACAGATGACAGTTAAATTTTCTTAAAACATAATTTAGAATTTTTTCATATTTTCACAATTGAAATTTTATTCAAAAATGCGTTTTATTGCGCTCAGTCTAGCTTTGCTGGTATGAATGGACACAGTATATATTATTCGTAAATCTCTAATCTTGAACCCGTTTTAGAGCTTTGTCAGTGCCGCATTCTTGCCTGGCAAGCTCAAAGGAAATCTCGCACAAGGTGCTCGAAATACTAAGAAACTCATACAACAGGAAAAGGTAAAATTCTACCTTTCATTGGGCCAATTAATTGTTAGTTCAGATGTTGTGAATAAAGAGGAACTTGAAAAATGGAAACACTTTATCATCGAGTGGACTCCACAAGCGTCCACTTTAGTAGAAGATTACGCCGCACTTCAAAAGTTTATCGCACAGAAGGAAATATTGCTGATCGGCAAAGATGATGACTTACTCAACCAATATACCAAGGGTGAATTTCAGAGACTAAAGAGCAGTCATACGAATACCTGTAATAGACTGTACATTGCTTTCAAGTTTGCGGCTCGCAAAGTGATACGAGAGTCAACGGACTCCCCAGGACATTCAAATTTTATTGTTCGATACTTCAATACGTTTGCCAGATCAACACCTAACGTTCGCGAATATCACTTTGAAAATTTGTTCAACTTGCTGACCTTAGAAGGCGTCGAGCTAGACGAATGGTTAGCCATTCAATACTTGGTGTAGATACATATGTAGATGTGTGAAAATTACAGTGATTCAAATTGTATGTAATATTTTTAATCACGACTAAAAAAACAAAATTTATGAATTACAGAAAATCTCTATCTTCCTAAAGGAAGCTTAAAATTATTTTTTAGTCATTGAAGATTTCCACAGTAACCACATTCTTCCCTTTTGAAGTATCAACCTGTAAACTTTGGAGATACATACACGTCTTTGCGGCTTTTGTCAACTCGCGTAGCATTTCTTAGCAAACGGAAATATCACTTCTCGATTTACCACATACTTTCAATATTATAAATTTAGTCGAACCTTTATTGCTAAAATTTAACGTGAATTCAATAACGAGCAACGCTCAGTTCGTCCGCTGCAATGATTAAACCGAATGTGGCTTGAATGGTAGAGCGTCATCTATAAAATCTAAACTAAAATTGTTTTTAAGCTATGAAAATTTGTAACGTATACTATTCACTGTACTTTTATTGAATTTTTTTATGGTATTTATATATACTATGTTCATAAAATTACTTAATTTATTAATCGAGAGCTTTGTATTTTGACTTAATCCAAAGATTTTGATTCAAAAACAATAGAACATTTAAGTTTTCTTCTTTAGGCCTTGTTCTTCCGTCAGATGCAATTTGCTCCGCCTTTCTGAGAAGCCTCTCCGACTCTACAGACGTTGCGGGGATGCATAAATACTTAAAAAGCAAAGGTTTTAGAAATGGCAATTCCATCTGGGAAGCCTGCAATGAAATTTACTGTAAAGACTGATGTTTTGACCATTGATAGCAGATGTTTACCTTCATCCATAAAAATGGATCCGTTTTTTGGGGGACTAAGGGTGTCTCCAGATACTTCCTCTTTATAACAAATGCATCAGATTTTTCGTTTTCCTGTTTACTGATGACTGGTTGATTCAAGAAATCTAAAAGTGAATCCTCAGTTTTTCTATTCGATTCCCAATTTAAGTTAATGGGGGTATCTCTATTGGTGAAATTCGCCAACTCGTGTTGCAAAAATATTGTAGCTTTTTCAGCATTCGTATTTAACTGAAACCCATTTTTCTTGAAACGCGGATCTAATATTGTCGCCATTCTTGTCACTGTCCGTTGCTCATATGTAGACAAACGTTTTGTTATGGACTTTAATATAGTATATTTCATTCTTTCTCCTACCGAAGTTTGTAACTGCGATGAAAGATCTTGAACTTTGAGGAAAAGACCATATGCTACAGGGATTACTAATGACACATAATTTTCACCAGATATTTTGTCGCTTGCTTTCTGAAAAAGTGACAATATTATTTCTACGTCTTTTAATATATTGATTTCTTCTAAACTCAATGTCAGCGGTGCACTTGTTATGGGCAACAAAACTGCATTAATGGCTTCATGAGTTTCTAATATGCGCTCTATCATAAAGTGGAAGCTGTTCCATCTTGAAGGAGATTCTTCTAATAAAATAGAGGCCAAATTTTCTTGAACCTTTTTAAATTTGTTATTCGATATTGAACTTTGTTTAAAAAATTTTACTATCGTCTTACACTTTGCGAATAAAGCTTTTATTGCATCGTCTTCGAGTTTTAGCCCATCTTGTACCACCAAATTTAAGGTGTGAGCAAAGCATGGATGATTTTGTATCTTTAATATTTCACATGCCTCTAACATTGAGCTTGAATTTTTTGTGACAGCACAAACAGTTTTATCAAGGATGTTCCAAAAACTCAATATGTCTTGCAAGGTGTTTGCAATATTTTGAGCAGAGTGATCTGTAGAATCTATTAATTTTTGTCTTGCTAAACATACTGTTTTCGGGCTATAATCAAGAACGAAGTGGCCTGTGACGCTTAAGAAGCTAACGTTAGTACTTGAAGTCCACAAGTCGCACGTAATCGCAATATCCGGAACATTCTCCAAAATCACGGCCAGTTTAGCCGATGTTTCTTTAAACAAGTGGAGCATCAACACATCTCTTAAATGTGTGCTACTTGGAAGCTTGTATCTAGGATCTAATACATGAGTGTATTTTATAAAGCCTTCATTTTCAGCGATGGTATATGGCAGCATATCCTTGACAATCATCTCAGTTAAAGCTCTATCAATGCCCCTCTTTCGCTTTGATTTTGTGTCATATAATAAAGCTCTTTCAACACACGACTCCACTGAACTCATGGATCTACAGCTGCCGCTTGAAGACGCGATCTTGTCGTAGCCGTTGCCATTTTCGTCTTGGTTGTCGTTTTTGTCATTGTTGCTATCAGTTTTGACGTCGTTGTCGTCGGTATCATCGTTGTCGTCATTGTTGTCATTGGTGTCCTTGTTGTTACCGTTATTCACTGAAGCTTCTGCAGTGAGTGTGCTGCACTTAAGCACAGATACATTTGAGTGGAATCTTTTTAAATGGTCACGTATATTAGATGTATTTCCGCTCGTTTTATAAAGTTTACCGCAGCATAGACATCTAGCAAATAGTCTGTCATCAGACTTCTTAAAATATTTCCAAACCTCTGAGATCCTTTTTTTTTTCTTTGGTATTGGCTTTTCGACCGTAGAATTCTTATCAGAATCCGTGAAGCTGCTATCACAAGCCTGCGTCGAATTGAGACGTTTACCTTAAATTAAAGTCGGTTTGGTTAAAATACTTTCCGGTTGCGGTATGATTATTACCTTTTAGAAGAGATCTATCCATTGTTTCTGTTGTGTGAATTTAAAGAGTATTAATAATGCGAATAAATACAAAAATCTCCAATCTTGGCTCTCAGATACAGAAAAACGCAAAGGTGATGTGCAAGCGGTACTATTGGTGGCACCATCGAACATTTCAGCAGTGCTTTTAACTATCGATGGCACTATCGAAAGTAAAATAGTAAGAGGTGTCAGATTATCGATGGTGTAAGCAATCGATAGTAAAGCGGAAACAATCGGCAGTTGTTCAATTTATTTTTTATTTATTTCACTTGATCCACAAAAAGTGGAAAGTTTGTCTGATCAACCTACAAGGAAATTTAATACAGAAATCTAATGTCTGAATAAAAACTGGATTTTTATTCTACCTTAAACAGCTTGTTGAACATTCGTTTCACATTTGCTAATTTATTGACAACAGACCTTTTGAAATATTTTTAAGCCTTTACATATTTTCAGATGTGTTGCTGTTCTGAGTTCGCAATATATTTATTGTATTTTTAGCACTGATTTATGATTATACTTTTTCAAGGAACGTCTTAAGCAAAAAGCGCGCGCAAATGTATTATGGCGATATTCAAAACAAACTATCGATGTACTATCGGCCCAATTGACTTCTCGATAGTTAACAACATCGAGAGTGCCCTGCCATCGATAGAGACATCGATGGCTTTCAACCACTGCAGCCGAGAGTTGATTTTTCTTTCTCTCTCTCTCTCTCTCTCTCTCTCTCTCTGCTTTCTCAAATACATGTTTACGTATGTGTGTATGTAGGCACAAGTCGCACGATTGCGTGGAACTGTGACGTCACAACAACAGCGCAACCTACTGGGCTTTTTAACGGCGCACCAAAATTGAATTTGTTCGCTTTAAGATCCCATTTCTGGCCTTCGGAGCGGCTTTGCAATGCTCACGCAAAATGTTAGCCTTTGTACGACTATTTGTGGGAAGAATAGTGAAGAATATGATTTCGTGACGAGGATGCACACACACACACTTGGACTCCCTTGCTACACGTACGAGCATTTACATAAGTGTCTGTATGGGAAACTCATGTTGCGAATCCCAATTAAAGCTGGTCGATCTTGTAAAGGCCTTACACACACTTGCGTATGCAACATACGTAGATACATATGTATGTATTATGTGTGCGTGTATAGTTTTCCAGTTTGGTTTGAACATTTTTGCTTGCTTTTGCTAGAAGTTAAGGAAACAAACATTTTCGTCTTACTGTTTTTGCCAGCAAGTTTCTGGATATGTTTCAACCACATAGATCATAAAAAGGAAACTCTTATAAAACGCTCCGTTTTTACATCGTTTTTATCGTGTTGTTTAGTGTGGGCCAAATTAATGACGCATTTCATTGGCAGCTTTAATAAATTTCAGATGAGTTGCTGCCGCCACAGCCGTAACACTAATTAAGTACAACGATAAGAGGACCAAGAGCCGGAGCCACTTCTCCTGAAAACAACAGTAACACACTTTATGCCCTGCAGGCGGGTGGCAGCGGGAGTAGTCCAGGGAGGTCTTTCTGCTCGCCATATGCTAAAGTCCTACAATTTATGAGCACTCTATGTATGTATGCGTGTTCGTGTGGTTGTGTGGAATCTCTTGTAAATCTCAACTGGACTGGCCATAAATGAAATGGTCGAATAATTGAGTTAGTGCCGCACTTCGGGCCAATTCCAATTGACCCGCAGCGCTTAAAGTGCTGTTGGACTTATGCAAATGCAAGCCTACGTATGAAGGAGGATATCAATCGCATCGAATTGCAGTTGATTTAAGAGTCCTGCCACGCACTGTGGCAGCAGACAGACGTCTCATGGCACGCCATGCCACGCTATGTGCCATTTGCCATGTGGCAAGTGGCAGTCGACTTGCGGCGTCGGTGGTGGTGGCACAAAAAAGCCAACTGCAACTAAGCAGTCATAAATTATGCAGCGACATTGTCAAAGGACACCAAGAACCAGCCAAGCAGCTATCCAGCCAGCTATACTAACAACGGCAGCAAGCAACAAGGACATGCACTCCATGCATTGCCAAGCCATTGCTCCCAGCTGGCCCCACACGCCTCCTGCCGCTCTTCTTGCTATATTAACTCCAAATGGCTCAGCAGTTAATAGGAACAAGTGCAACGTCGGGATTGGGGCATATGCAACATGGTAGTTGCTGCAGCAGTTGCGAGTTATGACAAACTGCAACAGACAACAAAACTTGCAGCTACCATGGCAAATGCATAGGCAAAAACCATGCAAAGCATTACAAATAAAACTTTAATGGGAAGGGGAATATGCTTATGATGATGACATCTTGCCTAAGAATTCCTACTACTAATTAAATTTATATCGGCAAGGGAAGAGTCAGCCGGCCCCAAGAGAAAGAGTTTGTGTTCCACGTGTCCTTGCTTTTATAAGATAATAAAACTCATTAGCAGATCGGAGATCAGAGCTTCAGTTCAAAACAAAAAATCAATATTTTTTAACACATTCATTAAAATAATTTGAAGATTCCAAATGTAAAGAATATGTACATATGTATGTAAATACATATGTATGTGTGTAATATAACAATAACTATCGATTATTTTGGACAAACTATTCTGCATGTGACATTATTTATCAAAAATACTATATACACTCTAAGGCCTCATATACGTCCATCTGCCCTTTACAGAGATTTTACTAAGGTATATTAAATTGATATGTGCAATATACATATCTCTATATTTAGAGGTAATCGAACCATGTTTATAATGATTTTCATTTATATGATAATATTCGTTAACATATTAATAATTGGAAGGCATTCAAATTTATAAACTTGTAATCCACTACAAAGGGATTGATGCCAATGGCATTACTTTAAACGATTCGAAGCTAATCCGCTTATATTTCACGTGGCATATTCGTTGAATCTAATCGGATTAAATCAAACAATTTAAATTAAAGACTCTTAATGGCTTTAAAGTGCTCACACATACGCATAAATCTATATTTGTATATGTATATACGTACATATCTGAAAGTTGAAAGATCTAATTCGAGTGCTTCTTGTGGCCCATTGTACTTGTAAGTCCTTTAACTGATTATAGTAAATGTTTCTATTCCATTTCTTGGCAGCAAAAACTTTGTCTAGAGAGGCAGCTCCGGGAAAAACTGTGCAACAGACTTTCGTACCAGAAAGTTTTGTTGAAGTAGAAAACACAACAGGTTAAGGGCAAACCCAGCTGCCGACTCGAAGCTAATTGCAACTACAGCAACGACAACAATAACTTTAAACAGCTCCATAGTTATGACAATTTCGAGACTGAAGCTGTGTCTCAGCTTCCAGGACATCGTTCGGGGACATTAGCTTGGCTCATTGTTCATGAAGACAACAGATGGGAAACTTAATGGAGTTTACTTTTACTATGTAGCAATTTAATTAGTTCAAATGAAGTTTCTCGTCTCGACAGCAACAGCAACAGCAACTGGCGAAAAATGAAAACATTTGACAAAGTTCAAAACATTTGTTGGCCAAAAAGTTTTTGCCGAATTCTAGCAGAGAGAAAAGAAGTCAGAAATCAATATACATATAAGACAGAGCTAAACCACATTTCGAAAGAGAAATCCGCTAGAAAAAAGAAATGTATAAACCACATTTCGAAAGAGAAATCCGCTAGAAAAAAGAAATGTATATAAAAAAGAAAAAGGAGAAATACCAACACAACTGTAACCGAAACATAAACAACAAACAAAAAAGCGAAAGGCGAGCGGAACAACAATAAAAATTTATTGTTATCCTCAAAAACAAGCGAAACAATCAGCAATAAAAACGGAAAAGCTGAGAGGTTTTCCAAGTGCCGAATACTTAATACTCTTGAAAAGAAATATATTTTGATACAAATATAATTTAATTGCCTGAATAAAAAACGAAGTAAATTCTATTCGATTGCATTGTACAACATGCTGATAGCGTGCTTAAAGTGAGTTACTTGAGTTGATCTACTGATTGACTTCATTAATAATTGACTGACTCAATAACTGAATGGTTATTTCCCAGGCTACGGAAATATCAACTGAATCAAAAGCAAGGCTGAACAATATTCCAATATTCAAGTTTCATGCTTCTATATTGTATATGACACCGTGTATATAGATAATACATTCTAACTTTTCCATTGTTCCAAGTTCTTCGAAAAGTTGAAGTACTCTCTGTTCATAAAAGCAGACACACACAGTTGCCAAGAAAAACTTGAAGAAAAATCAGCAGATATCAGCAGCGGCTGCAGAAGATGCTATAACGGCGTATGTTAAGTAATTTAGGCCTCGAATATTTTGCGGCCGCAAAATGCGTGCAAATACTTCTTGAACGGCGCTCGAGCCTAAGTCTCGTCAGGACTTAGCGCGGCTGTTAGGTGTATTAAGCGGCTGATGGGGGAGAGTGGGGGCGCGAGTGAAGCAAGGCTGTGTTTAAACCTGGCCGAAATCGAACCCCGCCATCTGCGATTTTCAATTGGAGTTGGCGAAATACAGCCAAGAGCACAGCACACCCCAAAAAGAACAAAAATGCGATTCGAGCAACTCGAAAGGAAAACACTTGAACATTGAAGTGGAAGCGATACAAGAGCTGGCCATGTTACCCACTTGTTTACGCTTGTAGTTTTTTGATTGAATTTTCGGCTACGTCGATGCAGAGGGGAGAGGAGCGACGGGCGCCAGCTTTAGAAGCAACAATTTTCCACACACATAGACAGTTGGAAATTATGGGCACGTTGCAGACAGTGCTGCAGCAAATCTAATAAAAAATTAACCAAGCTACAGACACAACAACACAAAACGTGTACATATAGCTGGCCACTTGCAACAGCCGCTAGCTGACAGGCTACCTGGACCAGCGTGGACGACACCAAGTGGAGGACACCCCAATCGCCACATGAATTGCTATGCACAGAAGGCTAAAATCGAAAAAGCGCGCAAAATGCAGGCCAAATGGGGTTACCAAACAGCGCCAGCCACTCCCGAGGGACAGCAGAATGAGTGGCACAGTGGCACTGAGAAGACGAATACATACCGCTATATAAATCATTGAGTCTAATTAG